GCAAAGTTTTGTAATAGAATTGCTACATACGTCACCTTCTCTGAAAAAAGAGTCCTTAACTGGACTTACCTATAGGAAAAGTACTCTGAACACCTTGAAAATTGGCAGTAAAGTTTTCATATAGTCCTCTAGCAGCCTTCCACTTACACATCTTGCCTAGCTAAGGTCCTATCAAGACCATAGTCCCCAGTCTCCAGAACTTAAACCCCGCTGTAAGCCTAAATAATAGCTTCCTGAGGGGTAGGAATCCCAGGACTACTAGAAAATTAAGGGGAAGCCAGACACAGCTGCAGGTAGCATTTCCCAAATTTGCTCTGCCAGCCTATCTGAAAGAATTAGTTTCCCTTCAGTGGTTTCATTAGCTCTTCAGAACGTGTTCTCTCAAGCCTTAACTCTGGCCACAACCCTAGTCTTCAAACAGACAAAGTTACTCTCCACCCTCTGAAAATTCAGAGAGGCTGTTCACAAGACCTAGTAATAGCCCTTCGTTTAACTCGCTAGGCCTGGATGTGGCTTTGCAGACCCTGCTTTCTGAAACCCTTGCTTCCGCTTCAGCAAGAGACCCAACGTTTCGCAGGAGGTGGGGAAGCAGTCTCCAGTAAACTGCTGCTTGTTCCTGTGGCTGTGGCTGTCCAACAGCTGAGGTGGTTCTGCAGTCTGTACTGTGTGTACTGTAAACCTGGACTTTTATACAAGCCTACTAATCAGGAATGGCTAAAAATTTCATGAAAACTGAATACACCGTGACTAATAGCAGCCATGGGATTGGCTGTATTCCTGACTGGCTTAGCAATTAAATGGGATCCAAAGGCTTGACTGTCAGCATCACTGACCCTGCATGCATACACTCCCCACAAGGTTATGATGGGCAGACCCATTTACAGCAGGATTTTGGCTGGACTCAGGGACGCCGAAGGCTCCTACCAGTCCTAGTCGACTCCTCCGCAATTTTCGTGTCAGGTCCCAAGCGCGTGAACAGGCTCTGCAGTCTCTTCCCTGCTGGGGCTCAGCTGCTGTGTTCGAGGTCAGGTTAGGAATCTAGACCTAGTGTCATGGGTCTGTGCTCAGGCTGGTATGCCAGGCCCTTCAAGCAGGATTTTTCGCTTGCACATAGTGGGATCTAAGGCAGGCATGTAGGGCTTCCTGAGGCTCCAGGGACAAAACGGATTTGCACCAGCAAGCTTATTCACTCAGTCTTTTTCTTCAAAACCTGCTGCACTTGTCTTAGTAGTTATAACATTAGATAGAGAGCCAAGTGATAAGAAGGAACTTCAAAATAACACCTTAAAGCTAAGCCAGGCAAGATTTCCACTGAACACAACATGCTGCCCTTCCACTGCACTGCGCTGTGCTCGCCCCCACGGCACAGGCAGCCGAGCCATCTTGTCTGGAGGCTGCAGAGGCTGATGTTAGATTCAGCCTCCTAACGCGATCAAGGGAAATCATCCTTTTGTTCCCGGCTAAGGATATTTCAGCGGGAAGAGTGCAGTCCAAGCAAAGTAACGCAGATAGGCGTGCGGTGCTGCGGAGCGGCGCAGGCGGCTGCTCCCCAATGGAGGCGCAGACAGGGGCCGAGGGGGTGACACCTCCCCGCAGGGCCAGGCCATGTCGCCAGGGCCTGTCCCGCCGCCCCGGAGAGTCGATCTGTGGGAGGGGGGGGCCTGGGGCTGGGGCTGAGCAGGGCAGTGGGCCCCAGGGCGGCCATGCGGGTGCCCTCGGGGCCTGGACACACAGCTACTTAACCAGCAAATGAGGATGAAGAGGTTCGTTACCTTCATCCTGGTATTTGGCAGCAGGTAGCAGGGAGCTCATAAATATCACCCAGATCCTTGTTTTAGAATTTCAGAATTCCTATTTCTGATCATAATGATCTTATCTTTGTTCAGCAGCCTTTATTCAGTGAATACCTGGAAGTCATTTGCAAACTTAGAAGAAGTGACTGATAATAAGTCTTTCCTTTCCTCCTCCCCCACCCTCTGTAACCCATCTACATTCAGCCATCTCTAAAGTAAATTGCCTCAACTGGTCAAGTGTCTAATGCAAAGCCTGTTTTATTTAGGGGATAGACTCCCAAAGGTGCTACTGTACTTGGGCTCTGTCCATAAAGCAAACATAGTTAATTCAAGCTATAGCTTGTTTCTGACCTGAAAGGTAAGCTTAAATGAAATATCACACAGTCCTTGGTGGCTATAAGTATTCAGAGCCTTTGTTTTAATTCTCTTGCAAAGCGCAATACCTCCAGTAGAGATGCCTTCTGCGCTTTTAATTGGGCAAAGCAGACTGAAGGACAGTAATGACAGTGTTTGGTTACGTCTAAATCCAGTGCTAGCTGGATGTCCCACAGGTTTCTCATCCACACCTCAACACAGTCTCACCTTATTTAGCTATGTAATACCTTACCTTGAGGATACGTACCTTTACATATATGAAAAGACTAACTCTGCAGAAATCCTCCTGAAAAAGTGTATGCAATGTACGTTTTGGTTGAGTTAAAATACATAAATTAAGACAGATGAGGATCACTTGCTGATTAAAACGTATGACTCTTTCTGAGTAAAAATAAGATAATTGTAAACACGTTCGCCTATTTTCTTTTTATAGTTAATGTCTGTGCTATACCCACAGATATTATACAAGTTGTTTCCTTAGCAACCATCAGATTCTGAAGGAAAACATAAATTCAATATTTCTAAGTAACAGTAACACCGAAAGCCAATTAATTCTGGAATGTTAATTCCATTCTATCCTGAAATTATTAGCAACCATTCCAAACTGAATTAGAGTACACATTATTACCCTTTAGAGGGTAAATCTCTCCAAATTAGTTTAGTAAATTTCCCAAATTAGTTTGGAAAATTAAATGAAAATCATTTACATATAAGTGGAAAGTTGTTTAGTACCAGCTTTAATCTACCCATTCCAGCATTTTAAATTCCAGTTAATATTTTAAACAGGATTAAAACCTCTTGATGGTAACCAAACCATCAGTGCACTGCTAAAACAGCAGTGGGGAAATTACTGTGGGGAAATCACAGAACAGCTTACAACCTCAGCTTGCCTTTGCTGACTCCACAAATTTCTGTAATTTCATTACAAATATTCAAAATAACACTGGTGACTGCCATGTATGTGAAGATAAACTTTAAAAAAAGAGAACTGAAGGTACTTCGTAATGAGATTTTCCTAAGCGCATACAAACAGCGGAAACAGTAACTGCTGCAAACGTTCTCAGTCCACCTTAAAGCACTCCTGACTTTGAAACCAAGAATAACAAATAGCATGAACTCTTAAACTATTGAGGAGTTTAAGCAATCTTGTACTTTAAACATTTATTCAGTTTCACATTGGGTAAAGGAAGTTAAAGAGATTTTGTTTACCTGCTCTGAAAAATGCAGCCATTGATATTCATTTTTCAGCTTTTTCACTGCCTAATTTAGAAATAAAAAACCTGGCTCTGCTAGTAGTCTGCTCAGGAGACTAATCATCAACATTAAGAAAGATTTTGCTGATTTTTCCATCCAGAACCCTCATTTACCCAGTTTCTTTTGTAAGACTCTATAACTGCTCCAACAGATTTTTCTCCACCCCTTTCATTGGAATCAACTCGTTATACCTCACTCTGCAATTTTCAGAGAGGAGACATCAGCCCTTAGCATGGACTATAATCATGATTTCATCTGCAGAAACATAAATCTCTTTCAAAAGTGCTCAGCTGGTTGTTAGTTGTACCTGTGTTTTTATTTGGCCAGCTAAGGTAGGGAAACATATATACTCAATGCATATATTTACTCTGTATACTTAGAAATTAATACAAGAAATTTTCAAGAGATTTTAGCTCTGATTAGCTTAAATAGAAATTAACATTTTTCTTTTCCATGAGGGGAGGAGCCTGCCAGGTTGGCAGTACAGAATCTCATACCTTCCTATATATTCAACAAATTTGACAAGACATTAGTATAGCATTTAATTAACCAAAAATAAAAAATCTATATTCCCTAGAAACAAATGCAAACAAAAATTTTTAGTATGTCTCCCACCCCACGAGAGCTCTCATGCAGGGCTTGATATGAGATCATTTCCATTCCGTAGTAATATTTACATCAGTCTCTCTAGAATTCCAGTGCGTGTCTTTTGATTTGAAATCTCAGATGCAAAACATGGAGATTTCAGTTTCTAGGGCCAAAAGTCTTCAATCTTAAGGATTCTGATTTGTTCAACCTGAAACTCCCCCTCCCTTTTTCTTTTCCTTAATCCTAAGCACCAAAACATAGTCTAAACCTGGGCATTTCCCGTGAGAGTTTGCTTTTTAGTTCATAAGAATAAAATATTTAGTTATGGCCTATATAGCAGCTAGACCTTGATGCTATCAGTTAAAACACGGCAGCGTGTTTTAGGATCTGGCTTTTTTCTGTCAGTAGTAATACAAACTTGCATAATCTTGATGAAAGCTGAAAAATTCTGATTCTCCACTCTTTCTCATCTGTGTGTGGAGCTGAGGGAATGACTGTGAAACCTTTTGCAGCCACCCAACTCAATTTTGATGAATCTAAAACTACAGATAAGGCCATACTTCCTGCAACAGCATAAGGTACTTCAGGAAACTCATACTGGCCTAAGATGAAATAAAAGGATCAGTATCCCAGGGATGTTTTGTCCAGTAAAAACCCTTCCTACCTTTTACATTGTTTGGAATATGACCCATACATTTAGCCTTCATCAGAATATTCATTTGTGTAAGAAGTAAGAATTCATATGTCTGCAGAAGAAGAATTCTGCAGTGACTTTCCATGGATATTCTAAGACCAGTTTGCACTGCTAGTAATCCAGCCATGAGATTGTACTTCACATCTGCAAGTAAAGGCCAATGGCTTAGGTAGATAATGTTATTTGCATAAGCTCAGTTGTTGGAAAACTTCCATTCATTCCCTCCCTAGCAGATGATATTGTAGCTACGGGAATAGTAGAAGCACCAAAACTTAAGTAAGATGTAATTTTTGCAGGTGCAGCAGTGAGCAGTCTCTTTTGATGTACATTCTGAAGAGCTTACACAACAGGACAGGGATTTTTAGTAAGTATAATTACCAGTTCTTTCAAAAATAACAGAAAACTTCATTCTGACAGTCACAAAGCATAGAGTGGGTAAAACATAATTTAAATTAGTACAAAAACCTCATGATTTCTAGTCTCATAACAAAAAGAAGATACTGGAAAAAAGACAGAACTAGGTCATTCTTTACAATGGCGCAGCAAAATACGACAATGATGTGGTGTATGCTAACCAGTTTAGAATCAGGCAGAAAAGGTTAGTGGCTGTTTATACTGCACCTAGTTATATATATTGTTTAATTTATGTGCAGTGCACGAAAAATAGTGATATTTCTGGCATTAATAAAGGGCTATAGCAGTTTGAAATGTTTTCTCTAAAATAATGAATTGAACTGTTCACAGTCGTAAGCAAGGTATTTCAGTAGTTCCATACATTTTCCCCGGGATGCCAGGCCTCTATGAAAGAACTAATGCAGCAGCTGTAATTAATTTTCCCTTTTTCAAAACCAAAAGAAAAAGTACTTAATCAGTGGATGCCAGAATACAGACCCTCAAAGAGCTTTGAAATGATACAGATACTTTGAAATTACGTAGGAGCAGGCCAAAACCTTTCTCTGAGAATCAAATTGTAAGTCAAAGGAGTTATATGAGCACTGAAATGAATCTGATCCAGTTATTAATTGTTGTTCCCACACGTTTGCAAAGAGGTATCAAATATCAAGTCAAATCTCTGTTCATTCTTTGACTTGAAAAAAGTGTATCTGGAATCTTTCTTTTCTTGTGCCTTCTCTTTGCTGACTACAGTTTGTCAGAAAACAGAAAGTTCTATTCTACAAAAAATCATTTTAGTTGGCACATTTTATTTGGAAAAAATCAACTCTTTGCCTATTTGTTTATCTAAGAAATGTTAAAATTTTCATTTTTGTCATAAAATCTTGCAGTTTTCCAGGGAACAATACCTTTTTTCCACATAAAGTTCCTTTTTTAAAAAAAAATCATATATTACAATTTTGTTAAAAGAGAAAAAAAGTGAAAGAGTAAGCCGTGGCTCTATTACTGTGCAGTGGCGATGTCACAGTTTTAAGACCTACTGGAAAATCAAAATGCTCTGCTAATTGGCTTTATACTTTCTGTACTGGGTTGTAATAGTTAAAACATTCACGCTTTGTAGAACTTGTTGCATTGCAAGCTGTGCTATACCAATGCAATTTGTCCCATAGGACAAATGCCATTTTTAATTGTTGTGAGATCCAGCAGTAAGTATCTTATAGAACCAGCTAATACCTAACAATGAGAAAACATACCTCTGTGACTTGAAAGTTACCTAATTACAGGAAACAGCGTAGTGAGGTTAGAAAGGATACACTGGAACAAAGCGGATATAATCAGAAGAATTGTGAAGAGGTACTTTTCAATTACAGCAAGAATATGTCCATTCACACCCACAAAAGCCAAATCTGCTGGTACATTGTTCAGAAAGGGACAAGGGATTCATCTTTTCTTATAAGTAAAAAACAGAAGTAGCAGTTGCAATTAACAGGATGAGAAAAAACAATGTTGCATATTACATATAATCCAGGCACAGAAAATTCAGCATTGTATATCAACCAAACCTTTATATTTTTGTGATTCTTAACAGGCACACTTCAGTTCTTTCCTGAAACAGCAGTGCTAATGAGACTTGTCTTCCCATGGATTATGTCTCATGTTTCATTGCAGAGCTCACCTGAACCCTTTTCCATAGACAAGGTATGTATAATAATATTCTCCCATGTAGCTTTTCCCTCACTCAAGGCCATTTATTATTATTATCCTATTTTACCGAGCAGGCAACTCTTTTTCATGAAATATTTAGGAACATTTTAAGAACGTTATTATCTGCCATATTTGGTTGAAATTAGAGAAGGGGTAGATAGAGAACTAATGTGTAAGCCTTACTTTTTTGAATATTAGTAGAAGTGTTTATCAGTCATTCACAGATATAGCAACTGGTTTTGAACAACTCATAAGCACCCAGAACTCTCAGAAGCACTCTTCATGATCACTGGTGAAAATCTCAGCTTCCAGATCTCCCGAAATGAAGGAAAAGACGAAACTTTGTAAAAAGCCTTAAAAAAAAGTCATTAACAGTCAACTCGGAGGATTACTGATGATTCAAAGTAGTGGATGTGCTCAATTTTCTCAGGTCCAGTTTTATCAGAAGAATAAAATGTAAGTGTTAGTGTAAGAAACCATTTACACTTTCATAGGTTTTGTATATTTTGTTTATTTTTTTTATTTGATTTTTAATTTCGAAGGAACAGGAAACAAAGAGATAAATTATCAATTTTTTTAATTATTTGGATAAAATGCTAAGCAAATTACTTAATTTTTCTCCAGATGTGGAAATGTAGGAATGAGATGAAATATCAGGTAAAAACAATACAAACAGTACAAGAGTAAAAAGAATTAGGGACCTTCAGCAAGCAAATGGAAAGGATCAGTGAAATGCTGCTGTTATGCTGCATTCATATCCCACTCATTCACTGAAGAAAGAACAGCATTATGTTTATCAATCTCAGTTAATATTCCTGGGTTATAAATAAAAGCAAGCAGACATAGCAGTAGAAAATGTAAATTTCGCAGTCCACAGAAGGTCCTGTCTCCAAGTCAAAAGCTGTCCTTCATGGTCATGAGATCTTTATTTTCTGAGTTACTAAAATGACAAATGTAGGTCAGAAGAAGCTTAGAGTATGTGTATGAATGAGAATTGGAATTAGCTGTGCTTTTCAATACCTGCAACTGCAGATACAGTAACTGAGTCTCTCAGGTTGCTACTCCCATGCTGAGCATAACAGACCAACAGATTCTGTGTCTCCTTGTACATAATATTTAACAGCCGAAAGCCGTACCAACATTCACACCAATTTGCTAACACTGTATTTTGTCTAATGAATGATATTTCATTCTATTTTTGTTTCTTTCTTTTCCCCTTATTTTGACATATCAGAGAAATGGCTTTAGAAGCAGAAATTCTTTTGCTTTAGTATAGGCATAGCCTGAGAGAGGCCGGTTTGTGGAAACGTAACATCTCCTGTTTCTGCATTTCGATCAGGCATAAGTGGGCCCCATTAGGCTGCCATGTTAAAATTACCTCCTGCAGTGCAGGGCAGGAGTTAGTAATTTGCCTTAAGATGACTCGTTCTCTTAGTAGAAATGAAAAACAAACAGAAATATACAATGATGAGTAAATGAGAAAGATCTCTTTTTTTTTTCTTTTTTTTAATTTGTTTACTTGCCAGAATACATAAGGCCAAACAAGAATGCTATTCACCTTACGAACTGTTAATTCAGTGCTGTTTTCTTGCAATACTTTGATAGTCTAGTACCACTTTGGAAAATATTCTTTTATCATGATGCTTCATTTTTAAAGGACAAGTATTAGAAAAATAAGAGTGCTTAAGCAGACAAACGGAGACAAATATTTGTGAGAGGATACAAAAAGTAAAAAAAAACTGCCTCAAAGTTTACTGTAAGTTTAGGTAAGGTATAAAAAAAACTTTTAATATGTCTCAAGAACAAGCAGTTTTGGCAGTAGGATGTGGGAACCAGAAGTACCAATTAAGGAAGTATGAGTGACTCAGGTAAACATAACAAAGCAGTGTTTGGATTGCAAGTCATGCCTGGAACACAAGGATCAAAAGTAATATATTGTTCAGAAAAATAGAAAAATGAATTTAAAGATGGTGTTTGTAAAGAAAATGGGATAACAAACCAGCACAGATTTATGGAAAAGACCATGTCAAGCTGCTTCTAGGGTTCTTAAATATAATAAATATAAAATGTATGTATGAAAATGAGCTAAACCCAATCTATATAGACTTCAGTAAACACTGATGATTGTGTTTCATTGCAAGTTACTGAGATGAATAATAGAGATGTTGGTACAAAAGCAGTGGGTAATGAACTGGCTGTAAAGGCAATTACAGGAGGCTATGCCAAAAAGCTTGTACTAACACAGTGATGCAAGGTATCGTTAAGTCATTGTCTGAAATAGTGTATATCACTACTCACCTTTATACAAGAAAGATGAATAGTATGAAGACTGTCTTTATGGTTGATATCTACACCATAGGGGGATAAAGATAAGAAGGAAGGAGTTGTAGTTGATACAAACGAAAAAGGTGGCACAGGTACACATGAGTATGAACTGCCCATTAGGAAATGAGGGTGAAATTAGAAGACATTGAAATTGTGGAATTTGCTGAAACTGCACTTGCCTTTTAATAGGCAAAAATATAAGCTGTTAAAGATGAACAGAATTATAGACTGCAGTTGAATGTGACAGAAAGTGGATGTGCAGAGGTAATTCCTTTTCCTATTTCCTGTGATCTTACGTACTTCTTGCAAGCAACTCCAGCGTAATGATGCCCATACATAAAAGCAGTAATAAATATCACTACTCCATACACTCTTT